GCGAAAATTTTAATTTTTATTTATTCAAAAATAGAATCAATGTTCACATTTTGTCTGTTTCATCTAAAATTGAGATTGAATTCAGTGAAAATTCAGTAAATGTGAATAAATTTAGCCCAATCTGAGCAAGGAAAGACTTTGGTTCTCAACGGGATAATTGTATTTTTATATCCATCTTTTAGATCTGTAGATCATAATCTGAGAATAAAACTTAGAGCAAAACATAGGCAGGTGTGTTCTTAACTAGTAAACTTAATATAACACCCAGGAGTCTGATTATTTTTTAATGGAAGTTTCTTTTTTTTTATTACAGCTATCTACAATTTTGATGGAAATTCAGTACAACATGGTCTGTCACTTGATATTGGTGAATCTGTTCAGATTTTAGAAGAAACTGATGAAGGTAAGATTTATATTACTACCGTGGGGAATTTGGACATGTATTATGATGAGGTTCATAAACCTGCCTGCTTTGTAACACGCTTTTCTATTGGTCAAGGTCATGTAACTTCACCTAATTCTAGTTACACATAGCCAATTGGATGTTAGATGCCAAAATGCATATTGACAGTTATTTATCTTGCAGACCTCACTGAGGTTTTCTTAAACTTTATCAATATTTATAGAGGATAAATGTATGAGTACTATTCCACTCGTGCATGCACTGCTACATGTTGGATACAGATTAGCTAAATTATAGCTACGACTTTAATTGGTGGGAATAAAGATTAGCTACCTCTTGAATTAGTGAGGATAAAGATTATCTAAAATAGTATATTGAATTATAAGGATAAGGATAAAATAACATGCTAAATATCAAGACATGTTTTTTTCTTCACAATCCACTGTTAAACATTTTTCTATCCAGTGTTGACTTTTTACCTGAGACTGTGTAGGTAAAAGGCTATATGCCATGGGATACTTGATAATAACTACGGGATATAGTTCACCTATTTAATGTACTTCAGTATTACAACCTCTATCTCACTAAAAATCTCACTGAAATCAGTGTGTGTATGTATAATTATGACGAATTTATTAATACTACACATATATGTTGCTTAGTAGATAATTTTAATATAATAAATACAGTACACACTGCTTAAGTCTGTGTTGCCGCAAGGTCTTCTCTGTTATCTACAGTTACATCGTATATCCGGTCGATATTTACACACGTAATTGACTGATGATAGCTGGAATAACCGTACAATCAAATTAGACTGTGCGATAATATTGCACATTTTCATCGTATTAATATCACTTCAATGTATGGAGGATCAGAGATCTTTTATTGAATAGAATTGTGTGGACTGTTCAGTTATCAGTTAACCCCAGGTTTAGTTTCAGTGAACTCTCTTGGATACAGACATGAATGGCAAGCTATTGAACTATTACAGGCCACGTCTGCGTAGTACCGTAGCGATTCTTTCATTTTGGTTGTTAACCTTGTTGACCTCACTGGGTGTTTTCCAATGCATCTGTGTCCTTTTTATTGTACACAACTTTGTCATGTGATGTGATATTTGGGTCATGTGATGTGATATTCAGGTCACTGTGTGTGAGTCAACCCTATGGTATAATCCTCGCTTATTTCATGTGTTGACGTGTCTCTCAATAACTATACGTGGGCGGGAACATAATAATCGGTTTTTGAATGAAAGTCACATGATTTTAACATGTGTTCCCCAGTCAATCTAATAATATGCCTTTCTGGTGTTTTATTTACATTTGTAACAATAAATGAAAAAGTAATTCATGCATGAATTTTAAATTTTGCAGTTTCAATACTACAATAAATGAATGACACAGTTTTTTAAAAATAAAATAAACAGAATCACATAATGTCCATTGGTAAATTTCGCCATTTTTTTTTTACCAATAACATCATTATTTAATCGCGAATAATAAGAACATGCGCCCAACAAACGTATTAATTTCTACGTTTAATATTCACCCTTGCTTTCAAGTGCAAACAAAATATTTACATTTACAAACAACTTGGCGTGAATTTCACGCATAGAAATTAAAACACCTTTGACCCCTGTATTAGTTATCCATGGCCCCCTTCAGCATTTGAGAAGTTTAGGGTGTCTCACATTGAAAAAGTGCAGTGCAGAATATAAAATATTCTCATTTTCAATAGATTTGGGAAGTGAAAGATGTATTGAATATTATAGTCTATGAAGAATATTGTGTAGAAACATTTGGAAATCTCAAATTAAATGATTACAGAAAGATCAGATATAAATAAAGTGTTTATAATATATGTAATTTTAAAAGTGGGAAGCATCTTGTATTAAATAATTTCAAGGTAAATTATTTAAATATGGGTGTAGAGAATATTATGTCCCCTTGATATGACAAGTAAGAAAGCTAGGGTGCCTTGATATGACAAGTAAGAAAGCTAGGGTGCCTTGATATGACAAGTAAGAAAGCTAGGGTGTTTTATATTAAACACTTTTGGGGAAAATGTTCCACTCCATTCCTTAAAGGCATGATTTTTGTTATGGAAATTTATAAAACATTCACCTAACCCATAGAACCTGGAATGTATTTTAAGGTCTATGATAGAAGCCATTTAGTAATGGCCATTACCCATGAGTCTTTGCAGTAGTCTTTCAATCATTGGTCGGTACGTATTCGCTGTGTGCATTGTGATTGGTCAAAATGTTTTCAGCTGTCATTTGAAATTCATTAAACATTTATAAATATTTTATAGAAAGAAAAAAGAAAAAAACATTTGTGCTTTCATGAAGCAAAGTGTATGCTGTTTCAAAATAGTTGTCTTCAGCTTGTTCTGTCTCCTGAGTTTGTCTTTGTACATGTAGCATAAACCAACCAGCTGCATTGTATGTGATTCTATGGTAGCCATGGTAACCTGCTGAAAATTTATATTTGAATGAGAGGATTATGGTAACAATTGTTAATACTTGTACTTAAGTTCAAGTTGTTTTTCGATCATAACTAGTCTTGTTTTCTATATTTATTACATTCAAATAAAAAAAATAAATACTTTCTGACCATCTTTTCAATAGAAAGAAATATATGAGGAATACAAAATACCTTAAAATAAAAGATGATTGCATTTGCATTTAATTCTCGGATTCCCTTGCTATCTGTTTTTGTTCGTTATCACATTCCACCATATTTGATTGACACTGCATTCATGGCGTGGGTTTCTTGCTGCCATGTCAGTACATGCCCTGACCCATGTAACTTTGTTGACATAATGTAAATTCAATATCGCTTGCCTTGTTCATTGCTAAAATAAGTACACTAATTACGTGGTCTGTGTAAATAGCTCAGTAGTTATGGTGGTAATACGGACAAATCAAAATAGCTTTTGGAGCATGCTGACATTCTCAGTGTACTATAGATACTGTAAAACTCTCCTTTTTGTTTTCTTCAATGAGCGACCAGCACTTGTAAATTTGATGAAATTTGTAGAAGTCGAAATTTCCCTTTGGTTCTTAGAAGTCGCAGTGAATTTCATGGAATTTATTCTGGTCCCTGATGAATACCCTTCTAGTAATTTTTGGTGTAATTTTATTGTTTACTGTATTGCAATTTTGATTTTATATAAAAATTGATATTTATAAAACATTTGTGATTTCTACAGGTCTCCGTCATTCACTGTATTAATACGCTGCTTTTTAAAGATTGTACACTAAAATGAAGAAAGCGAAAACTATCTTTCAATCATATTGAAGTGTGTACATGTATTGCTTTCACAGAGAATTCTGAGACCTTTATGAAGAAATTTAGAAATTCTTTGAAAATTCTCTTGTTTTTTAGATCAACCGGTAAGCGCAATGTGTTGTGCCATTGTGAGCATTGCGGCAACACATTGCTTATTAAACAGATGTAGGTTCATTGGCATTGCGACAACATATTGTCTGACAGATGAAGGTTTTACTTCATTGATTATGTACTGGCAGGGACATAGCCGCTGATTTGAGACATGTACATATGTTATTTACCACGCTGGCATGTGTATGTGTACTGCTGTTCTTACTGGCATTATATGTACATGTTTAAGACATAAGCCCTATGGTCATGCTGTTTCTCGTTTCCATGGTTTATA